ACAAATTCTGGTCATTACTGTAACCGGTATATGTGACTTTGCAGATCATATCTCCTGTCTAATAACAACAGTTTAGCAGAAATCGCCAGAGTGAGTTCGTTGAAAGATCTATTCTATACTTCCGACCACATGCGATTATGCTTACGTTTTTTTTCTAATTAAACGCATCAAAATGTGTTTCACATACTGCCTTTAGGTTGCTTAAAATTGAATAGATCTTCGTTTTATATTCAGTGGCGTTGCCGACTGTTTAGTGTCACGCGGGTACCAATTTAGGCAATGAACCAACACTTTTCAGTCAATACTACACATTGCAACCGCATTTTTAATTGTGCCAATAGATGTTGGTCAACGGCACCCAATGTTTTGAATCCGGAACTGTAGGAGCAAAGGCTAATGACGTATTTGACTAACTTAAAGCTATGTTCTCGCGCATACACCTGATATGTACCGACAGTAGTACGATTGATGAATGATAAAAATTAATCACTCCAGCGCAGCGTTAAGCTAACACTCAAGCGTCCAGCTCAGTACATTGCATCGCCGTGAACGCTCGTGGCGAGTGGAATCTTGCATTCTTTGTGAAGATTACCCAGAAACGAATGGCAATTGAATTGAATGGACCCCGCTGTACTCGTCCAGTAACGAACAAGCGGATGAGTGACGATTGTTGTTTTGCCTCAGCGAACAACGAGAGAATGTTAAAGAGCGTAAAACCGAATTATTTAACATCATTCGTGCAGCACTACTTCAGCAACAGCGAGAGGAATATATAACGAATTTTTCTTCGCTGATAGGATCAGCACCTTGATGGTAGGAAAACCAAAATTAACAATACAAATCTAAATTAGTAATTATTTTGTTATCATGATATCAAATTTAGTAATCTGAATATTTTGAAAACTATTGGTGAATATTAAGATTCAAAATCAAAAAAATGTTATCAATAAAGTGCTAATGGTGCCATATTAAAGTACAGAACCGGAAATAATCATCCTGTGGTACAAACTACAAGAAAGTATATAATGAATCGCTTTTGTCATTTGAGACAAATAACAGACTCACCTCTAATCAAAAACTGGCATTCGCGAATTCGATACCCGAAGAAAACCCAAAAGTTAAAATTTGATGAACGATTGAAGTTTATTATATCCAATAGCATAGAAAAAGACCATGTGACTTTTTTTTAATTTAAAGTTTAGTTTTCATGGCAAATTCTAGTGAAATTATGTTCAATATAGGACAAACGAATCATGTAAAAAATTAGGCTACGATGACTCTTATATTATTATTAATGATCAATGGACCACTTTGTCAAACAGTTTTGGCGTGACTTTCTACCAGCGATTTCACAAAACTAGACAAAATAATTTATATTTTTTTATGAAACGCACAAATGTTGGCTACTTTTCTCGAGGTTCTAGAAGAAAAAATCTCAAAATAATGTTTTATTTCAAAGTTCGTGTGGTAGTAAACGTCATTTTAAGTGCTCGAATAAAGTGGTTAATTCTTTCACATCGAACAAATTTTAACAGACATGAATGATGAAATTTATTTTGTTGGGAGAGAATTGATATTTAATGCGATTTCTGACAACGTATATTTAAATATGAGCTAAGAAATCGTCTAAGCTTACGAAAGTTAGTAAAAATATTCGACAATATATTAGTATAAGAATTAAAGACGAACAGGACGAAATCTCTTTTATATCGAATTGTATGAGAATCTTTGAAATCAATGATTGATTGTAGTGCATCCACTTTGACGTGATATCAAAATTATTTTTTTTGCTGTGTAGATTCATATCAATATATGTTGCAAAATATAACTGCAAAAATCATAATTGTCTTTGTGATGTTCATAAAGAAAACAACAAGCATCCTGATTGACTCGTAAAAAAAAAAAAACTAGGTTTCAGTGATTTTTATAAAATATCACATGTCGGTTTTAATTATATTTTTTAGAAATATCCAAATAATATCAAAAATCAATTCAACCGAAATTAAAAAATAGCTTATCAAAATTTGTTATTAACTTGATTTCAAAGACATAATTTGTTACAATTTTGTTAGTATTTTGATATCCGACATTGCTCGGGAAGGCAATACTCAAAAGCGTGCGCACAAGTTATTTTTGATCTATTGTGATATTCCCCGTTTTTATATTGGTTTATCAGTTATGTCGTATCACTATTTTGTGAAGCGACCGACATAGACTGACCAAAAGCATTTTCCCAGCCAGGTATTACATTTCGAATGAAATTTACTACTTGACTGAGACCTGCATTCCAAATATCAAAGGGTTCTGCCAGCCCCTTATCAAGAAAAAAAAAACGCCTATTATTGAAGATGGCTGCACAAGAGCATAGCAGGTGTCCAGAGTCTTCCTTTTCTATGCCACATAATCGACACATATCCTCTTGAAGGTTTCCTATTAACTTCAAATGATATTTACATGGACAATGAGATCTTTCTTTCATAATTCAAGAATTTTGCTTGTCATTGAAATGTTCGGAATTATGAACCGTTTCGACTGCCTAGCAATCGAAGTGTAGTTCCAATTGGTCTACACTTTCATTTTTTTCCATTTCTTGATCTCCATTTTAAGAGAACAAGCAGAAACTCCACAGAATGGTTCTGGTCCAACACAGCAAAAAAAATGTAATATCGATTGAAATAATGATGTAATAGCAAAAAGTAGATACAATATTACATCAATTGATGTAATTTTGTTCGCAAAATCGATGTACATCGTACAACGTTATATTACACAACCGATGGATTGACCTGGTTTCAGCAGTTTGGATGTAATATTCAACAACTTTTTTTCTGTGTATGAATTGCTGAGATGATCCCGTTAAGTAACTCTACACTCAAAAAATATGTCGCATAAATTTCACATGAAAAAAAAGTTACCTTCAGATATTGAAAATAATCTGTAATGCACATAGTAAAATTTTAAGTGATATATTATATTGTAACACAAATTCACTCAGATTCTTCATGAATTTATGGTGTGAAAATTTATGAGTGGTGATGGCACAAACACAATCTAACATGGCGTCCGAACGTTGCATTGCTGACGAGTTACTGCTGAATTTACAAATTCCATTGGAATTATGAAATTTTCACGCAAATATGTTGTTTTCTTTTCGACATGATAGGGCTCTAATGTTGGCCTATGGTCAATTTTATCTAGATGAACGCGTCATTGGGACGGTACACCCAACCGGGGGATGTAAGATTCGCTTAAAATTATGTGGGATTCATCATCAGAGGATGTTAGTGGAGACCGCATGAACCGAGGATGCGATATACCTAGCTGCGGTCCAATGCAAGAAAATTGGAGACCGAAAAATGTAGAGTTTATTAGTGAGTGAAATTAGTTATGTCGAAAAAAATAGGAAACAGATTGCCGACTGGACTCGAACCACGATCGTTGAGATTATCAGATCTGTGCTTTCTCCACTGCTCTCTCCATGCTTCTGAGTATAGATGGCCTAGAAGCAAACACGAAGCGCTCATTTTCTCACATACTCGACTTCGTATGCTTTTTCTGCTGGAGAGATTCGAGGCAAGTGTGTGCGTCGTTCTACAATGTTCTACAACGTGCGTCGTTCGACAAGCTTACTGGTATAGTCGAAAGCGTAGATAGAACACGAAATTAAAAAGACAAAAAACCATTACATCGCCTGTAAGGTCAACTTCTAACATTCGCTGCGATGTTCATGAACAGGGTATGATAGGAAACGGAACTAACATTCATTGTAATAGATTTTTGGTTTGCGTGTACAATTGGATATTTTTGGTCACTATTGAAAATTTAGTCGATTGCTGAATTTATGTACGGGCCCAAATTAGGGACATTTAGGCCGACATTACATCCTTTTCCCCTACACAGAAAAAAATTCTGAATTTTAATAGTGATGTAAACATTCACGTAAACTTGTATTTCATTTCACGCAACCGAGCAACTTGTAAACAATGTTGTTTACAACAATGGGCTTTTGTATACAATATTTGCTACATTGCATGAAATGTCTCAGAACTTTACATGATATACATTGTAAACATATATGATATGTGACGCTCCATTTATGTGCATCATACTGAACAGAAATTTACACTACTTTTTCGAACTATGTACTACATGCTAATGTAAATGCTAAATACACATATAAAGAAAAATAGAACACACTACTCGGGAAACCATTTTAGGTAATTTTGCTTTAGTGAAAAGCAAAAGCTCTTCTGGAGGAAGTCCTAAGTCCTTAGAAACTTCCGGGGGATGCCGGAAAAAATCCAAGACAAATCTTGTTCTGGGAAACTTCCTGGAAAGTTGAAATCAATTTCCAGAGGATGCTTGAAAGATCTAGGAAGAAACATTCGGTAGAAGTCACTCCAGGAGAAGTCGTTCCAGAAAAAAAAATCGGATAGATGTTTGAGGAAACTTCCTGGAAAAGATGGAAGAAACATCCTGGTGCAGTTTGTAAGCAACTTCTGAAGGAAGTTGAAAAAATGGTCCTTAAACGATAGTAATAGTGGCAGTTTATGACCAAATAATAATATAAAGGGGACGGTACCTAAAAGCCATGACGTATTAGGGCATAAGTATATTCTAGACGCAAGGGACCCCACTATAGTCAAACATGATTAGATTTATCTGCTCTTGAAAAAATTCTCCAGTTTGTCGCAAAGTGATACATATTTAAGTTTCACAACTAAATTGATCTTTTATCAGGAACCACCGTAGAGAACAGACAAGTTGTTATTTGATGCAATTATGACCGTAATCGCCAAAGAATGCTACGTGTTCCTGTTTAATTTTAACAATCAAACGTTCAGTTTAAGTCAGTTTCCTTCATTTTCTAACATTTTTGTTCAACTGTTAAAATCGCCCAACTTGATTTCCTTGACGGTGCTGGTTACCACCCGACATCGCCTCATACCATGCGGTCTGTCGAACAATCTCACATGGTGCTGGGTTGTTTGTCAACTTACCTTCGCTGTTGATGCTGTAGCGGGGATTGGTCATATCGACACGCTTCATGTCCTTGATCCAGTAGATCTTCGGCGGTGGCGTTCCGGTTGCCTTGCACTGCATCACGGCCGTGTGGCCAATTTCAATTACACGCGTCGTGGGGCTCTGAGTGATGACAGGGAAACCCTCTGGCGTTTTGTCCGCTGCAAGAGATATGAGAAGATGGAAAGGAAAATGAGAAGACCATTCATCGTTGTCGTCAACGTCGTCGTCAGTAAAGTCATTGTGATGTACCACGGGAAAACAGGAGAATTTCATTAGTGTGCGATGTAGGGCGCTGCTCTGATATGGAGCTGCTCTAGATGCATACAGAAGGCAACTCACTGGATGGCAATAAATTCGGAGGGTACAAAAACAAACGGCATAGCCAAAGGCTTATAGTTAACACTTTTGAAAATGCCCATCCAATCATGGAAGCATCGGATCGGAACAATGGGAGCGAAAGTTACGATTCCCTTTGACAACAGGTAAAAGCTAATGAGATTGAAAGTAACCATTGCTACCGGTGGGCCACGAACTGTGTTACTGATTATCACTGGTTTTGTTGGTTCAATTGATTGTTCACTCAGATAAAGGACGGCAATCCGGTAGGCACAATTAAATGATAACATAGCAAGCTTAGAATGATTGGATGGCAGTTGGTTTGTTTGGACAGGTTTCAATCAAGCTGATGAGCTGGAAACACTTTTGAAAAAGTTGTGTTGGATTTTTTTGTAATTTCCCAATTTTTCGTGAAATTTAGAGCAAGATTGCATTTGATTTTGCTGAATTTTATAATTTATCTTTGATCTCCATCCACCAATAATTAGGGAAAATGGTTCTAACGTTGGCCTAAGGATCTAGGATTTCCTGTACTTCATTTTTTCGTTGAATAATACGTCAGTTGGACAATACAAATAGATATTTTTGAATGCAAGTGCAAGTGCCAAAAAAAAATATTTCTTCCGTGAATTATGTATGGGCCCAATATTAGCGACACTTAGGCCGACATTAGTGACTTTAAAATTATTGTGGAATGTTGCTTGTTATGTTATGTTCTACGATTTTGATCAATTTTGAAATGTCCATTGTATCCATTTCCGAAAAGTTAGCATTTTTGATAAGTTTTCAAATAACCAGATATTTATTTGTCTTTAAAATGCTTTTTTCTATAATGAATCTTTTATCAGTTTTTCTTATTTTTTTTATGAAAATTTGTGATCTTTTTTAGTATGTATTTTTTTTTTCAGAACATGCACTCCAATTTCATGCAACTTTGTCACAGAAGTCATTTCTATAAAATGAACCGAATCATAATCAACAGATCTAAACACATTTAATACTACTAATACTACTGTTTTGTAGTAAAAGGAACACTATTTTTTAATCTGTGAAAGGGAAATCAGAAATCGAGTATCATCAAAATACATGGCAAGTTTTTTTTTTATCATGATGGTCTCACCTATTAACGAGCCTCGGTAGCTCAGTGGTTACCGTATCTGCTTACTGAGCAGAAGGTCGGGAGTTCAATCCCAGGCCCGTCCCCTTCCTTGCAATTTTTCACTTTGCCTTATTCTATACCCACTAGATTTTAATGAAAACAAATACTTCTTTAACACCGATCGCATCACTTACCACAGTGTGGGTCCTGATCTAAAAATATAAATTGGATGAGTGCGCGCGCGTGTGTGTGTGTGTGTGTTTGTGTATATAATCACTCTACCAAAAAACGATCCCTGCGAGTGCGTGGAAGCACAGAGGATTTCTCGGTTTCCTTCACAGCGTGTACCACGTCAACACATTCCTTCCCATTCCCTAGGTGACCTGCATTCGGACACGGCCGGCGCTGGTATTGCTAAATATTAGATCTCCAGTTCTTACACATTGAGGATGAATGTTAGTCCCAAACATCATCTGTTGGTTCTCTGTGTAATTGCAGCTGATCTGGTAATAACAGAGCAGCAACCGTGGGTGGTCAATCATGCTAATCATGCTCATGCTTTTATGATGATGGTCTCACCTCTTATTCCTACAAAAGTTTGAGCTGGACGATTTATCTTTAAGATAATTAAATATGACATTTCAACCAGGTTAGCAAACAAAATCGAACTGGTTTCAGTTACAGATGTGAAGCAACTGTAAACTCTAGAGGGAATTTATATCTATATAAATTCCCTCTAGAGTTTACAGTTGCTTCACAGCGATATAAATGTGGAAAAGCTCAGGCGTCCACCTCTTAGTTCGCCTTTTTGTCCACCTAAAATATTCTTAAGTATTACAAGCGATCAAGAGTTAATGAACAATCAACAAAGCATCCTATTATACTAGCAACCCCGCAATCTGATGCTATCATAATTTTCAGTAATGTCAGGAATGCTCACGAACCCCCAACATTGGCCAGAAAATATACTACTATCTCAAGATATCTTCCAAATAAGCTTCAAAATCGCATTTTTTTTTATCAAATTTTAAATTCAGTCCTCTATATCCGTAATACGCGCGCGAGGCTCAAACCTTTGTAGACTACTTTTTTTAATCTACTTTTATTATTATTTAAAATCCATCATCACCATCATGGCGAACAGCAATAGTTTTTGCAGTGCTACAATAATGATTAAAAAGTAATTATGACAGCTATCCATGCAAAATAATCCGTTAGAGATAACTTCATCAAGATACATAATATGTCAATTCATAAAAAAAAACCACTGGATAACTGTTCAAAAGACAGTTTCAACATGTGAAATGCAGTGTCTTTTAAATACTGTAAGTGTTGCGTCAAGTGTACACAGCACATGAAATTGACCTCTTCCGATTTGGACCAAATTTGTAGGAAATGTTCATTTAAGTTCAAATTTTAAAAATCCAAAGTTTTATGCTAATCGGAGCACCCCTCGGTCAAGGGGCGCATTTTCCATTTTTCGTGATTCTCTGGAAAGCACTACCTTCTTTTGTTCATATCTCCGGAATAAATAAAGCTACAAATTGCATTAGATACTGTTTTCATAAGGAAATTAGACAATAAATCTAAATCTGTAACTTTTGTTTCTGTACAGTGTTGCCAAATATTTTTTTTATTTTTGTTTGAAAACTTTAAATGCAGTTTTCTCATAATAAGTGTCGTTTGATTTTCATTTTAAGGACACCATCGTGTTCTTCATCCTTTTTTACATAAGAAAAATTTAAAGACAAAAAGTAATTTGCGTAGTTCCTGAGATATTGCATTTTGAATGAGCTAAAGTCATAAATTATGAGGGTAAAACTTTGTTTTTTTTATTTTTTTCCCATTTCCTCTTAATAAGTGGATTCATTCTCATGACTTATTGTGTGAAATGATATTTAAAGAAAAAAAAATCGATGACATTACCAAGAACAGTGTTGCCAACTTTAAATATTATTTAGCGACTAAAAACTTTAAACGTGATTTTTTTTAATTTGATGCATCTAAATATTTGGTTTGATTGCACCATCGTGTTCCACAGCATTTTTACATAAGATAGACTATCAAAGTTCAACGCAATGTAACATTTTGGGAAAACAAATTGAAGAAAAGTGTTTTTTTTTTAATTTTTCGGATGCATTTTCTAAAGCAATGGAATTAATATCCAAACCTATTATTTTAAAGTTTTCAGAAGGTAAGTGCACAACGGACCTAAATCTATATTTTTTGGTACAAGAACGCCAAAATAACTATTTATGGTCAGCCATAAAACAAGACAAAAATGTGAAATATAGGACAAAATTGTAATTCGCTCATGTTTTGCATACGATCCAGAATTTCGAGATCAAATAGATGTCTTTGAAGATGTCATCTATTAACGTATAAAATATGACATTTTTGGTTTTTTTTTTCATATATTAGGCGTCTTTGTTTTAAGCATCTCTGGCGCATCTAGAAGTTTGCAGATACCGAGTGGAAAATGGTGTGTTCAATTCAGGGGGTAAGCCACTTTGCCACCTTGTGTTAAACACATCAAAAACACTCTTCGACACTCTTCGACACACTCAAACACCCTTCAACCACCATGAGAACCAATTTTTCAATCTTTTCTGGCAGCACTGCCATTCATTTGATGCCCTTTTTTGTTTTTGTTGATTTTTTTTCTGAAGGAAATCGGTAGGATTCCACAAAAAAATTGATCGGGACACCGAAGTAGCCCTCATCCCCGCAATTAGGAAAGATGATTCAACATCAAGCTTAACATTGAAAAAACAGACAATTTCCACCTCTAACAAGCTAGAATATCTGTAACTGTATATGAATGAAGCGGATAATAACTATCATATCAATTATTGATCGATAGCTTAAGACAGATATTTTTTTCTAATGTGTTTGATGCCCTTTCGTCATGGATTTCATATACACAATACCAAATCAGAGAGATCCATCCTACTAGCTGCCGCTTACAACAACATTTCATGCTTTCCAGTGCCATTTCATAGAGTATCTCAAATCTTAGGTATCACAGTTGTCCAAAATCTCGTACTTCTCCGATGGTGCGGTACCCTAGGTTTCCACGAAAGCAAATTTGGGGTGCCCACTGAGTGGCACTGCTTTGTTACGGCACATGGCAAAGGACCAAGCGACGGATTGGGATGAACTTTGAAGAGATTGGCAACGTGAGCTTGTTTACAAGGAGCCACTATTCACACGCCAAAGGAGCTCTATGACTGGGCAATGAAGATTTGCAATACAAACGTTAGATTTTGTGTCATCTGAGATCTGTTCCGAGAAAAACAAATATTGTTCCACCGTTTTGCATCAGCTGCATCTATTCCCGGTATTCGTTCAATACATACAGCAGCTCCTTCTGATATTGCTACCATTATTATGAAAACTGTTTCTGGTGCCACAACTGGTTCAGCTTTTAGAGTTGTGGCAACGAAACATGCAAAGCAAGTAGATTCAAATAATAATGGGAAGATATCATCACGAAGTAAAATGAGAAGAAAAATAAGTAAATTGTAATTTATGTTTTACATTGTTAAAATAAAATGTAAGAAACAAATCGATCAGAGTTTGATAAATATTTTATGTATTGGAATGTCTTGATTTATAATGCAATTCGTTTGGATTATTACTAGTGTAAAGTTTTCAGCCACTGCATAAAAACTATTGTTGATTTTATCATACCTATTTTTTTCCATCAAGTATTATTTAACA